AAGGCCCGAACCGTTTCCTTGAAAGACTTCAATCAGAATTATGGACTGAATTAGAATCTATATTAGCTCGAGAGGAAATAATTTGGTTCCAAAAGTCACGCTGCAAATGGCTCTTAATGGGAGATCGAAACACCAGATACTTTCATGGAACTACCGTCATAAGAAGAAGGCGCAACAAGGTTGAGAGGCTCCTGAATGATCAGGCCCTGTGGGTAACGCAACAGGAAGAGTTGGAGGCTATGGTCACTGAGTACTATAAACACCTTTTCCTCGAATCAGGAGATCATAACAACTTGTGTCTACAAAATGCCTTCCCTTCCCTAGGGACTGCGGAATTAGATGTCATTGGTAGACCAATCAGTGATGAAGAGATCTTACAGGCTATCAAGCGTATGGGGAGTTTTAAAGCTCCGGGACCTGATGGCCTACAAGCTATCTTCTATCAATCACAATGGAATGTGGTTGGTCCTTTTGTTTGCAAATTAATACATGATATCGAGGAACAACCGTCTAAAGTGGCTCATATTAACGACACTCTTATAGTTATAATAGCAAAAGTGGAGGTAGTCACACATCTAAAACAAATGAGACCAATAAGCTTGTGTAATGTCTCATACAAGCTCCTAACGAAGGTTCTTGCTCATCGCCTAAGCAAGGTCATGGAATATCTGGTGCACCCAAATCAAAGTAGCTTCGTGCCTCATAGAAATAGTAGGGATAATGTCATTGTCTTTCAGGAGGTAATGCATTCTATGAAGTCCAAGAAAGGAAACAAAGGTTGGATGGCCATCAAGATTGATCTTGAAAAGGCATATGACCGTTTAAATTGGAATTTCATAAAGGATACTTTACTTGATATTGGCCTTCCTTCGAGTTTTATAAACCTAGTTTGGGCTTGCATTTCCAGTGCTAAGTTTCGAATGCTTTGGAACGGAGAGGCCTTGAGCGAGTTTCTTCCATCACGAGGAGTGAGACAGGGAGACCCCATCTCCCCCTACATTTTTGTGCTTTGCATGGAGAGATTATTCCATTTGATCAACATGACTATTGAACATCACATCTGGAAGCCTATTTGCTTATCTAGATCAGGCCCATTAATCTCTCACCTGGCATTTGCAGACGATCTTGTTCTCTTTGCAGAGGCTTCAACAAACCAAGTGGAAGTTATAAAAGCTTGTCTAAATACATTTTGTGATAGTGCAGGGCTAAAAGTCAGCCAGGAAAAAACTAGGATCTTCTTCTCGAATAATGTGGGCCATGTTGTGAGAAATGAAATTAGCTCAGTTTTTGGCTTTCAGCGAACGAATGATCTAGGTAAGTATCTTGGAATTCCGACACATCACTCCCGAGTGAACAGGGTCACCTATCAAGGTATAATTGATAAAATAAATAGTAGGCTCAGTGGGTGGAAAGAAAAAAACCTTTCCTTTACAGGAAGATTGACTCTAACAAAGTCTGTTCTTCAAGCTCTTCCATCTTACACAATGCAGATGGTGCACCTTCCTAGAGCATTGTGTGATGAGGTGGACAAAATCTGTAAAAGATTCCTTTGGGGGGGATGGAAATAGAACTCGTCACCCTCATGCAATTAATTGGAAGACTGTTTGCTTGCCTAAAGTTAACGGTGGACTAGGCTTGAGAAGAATGAGGGACATGAATAATGCTTTCATGATGAAAAATTGTTGGAGCTTGATTAATGAACCTAACAAACTATGGGTACGGGTTATAAAAGCAAAATACGGATGTACAAATGAGATTATCCTTGTTGTCACAAAGAAATCATCAATGTCAAAC